CTGGGGCCTGCCAGTCAGAAAGTCCAGGAGCCAGTCACAGGGTGGGGTGCAGACCCAGTGTGGACAGTTTGTGGGTGAGTTTGTGGGGGACAACTGTGTTGAAGGTGGAGCTGTAGTCAATGAAGAGTATCTGGATGTAAGAGTCTCCATTTTCCAGGTGAGAAAGGGAATAGAGGAGGGCAGCCGTGCTGGCATCTGTAGTGGCCCTGTTGGGCTGGCAGGCATACTGCAGGGAGTCCAGGGAGTCCGGTATACTGCTCTGGATGTGGGCCAGCACCACTCTCTCAAAACACTTCATAATGATTGGGGTGAGTACCACTGGCCTGTAATCGTTCAGGCAGGTGACTGGGCTCTTCTTGGGCAGGGGGATTATGGTTGTGGTCTTAAAGCAGGTGGGAATGATGCTCTGGCTGAGGGAGAGATTGAAGATGGTGGTGAGAGCATCAGCCAGCTCTCTGGCACATGCCCCCACAGGGATGTTGTCTGGTCCTGCTGCTTTGCAGGAGTTGATCTTCCTCAGGACTGTGCATACCTGGCCTGATGACCCTCGGGCTGAACGGAAAATACAGGAATGCTACGCGAGTTGTGATAGCCGACCCACAACAATGTATACATCAAAATGTTCAGCGAAACCTCAGCTACAATGTCATATAAACACAATAAACATAGCAAAAGCAATAAAGCACAAAAGAGCAACATCTCAGCTCCACTAGGGGGTGCTCTGCCAGGCATACGATTCATATTTTGTCATATCTTACCGACTATAATCCATCAAAACACCGCTAGCCACGGCTCAAAACAAAGGCCACACTTGACAGATTCCATAAATGCATCAGTAAAAACGCTACGTAAAAGAGTTAGAGATACAAGCCAACAAACTTCAACAACAGACATTGATTTGCAAAAAGTACAGCGAAATTTCTCATCTTACCTTTGATGTTTTGATGCAAAAAATAAGTTTTTCCAACGCAAACACTGAATTTCCTGACTCACAAAATGGCGTCGGTTTGGAAAATACCATTATTTTTAAGTTAGGGGAGTTCTGGCTGGATAGAAACAGGTTTACATTAGTGCTGGCCAGAAACCCACCCTCCCCCTATGGTGCGGTCTTATCGACTGCCATTTGTCCACGATGCTGTCAATAAGGTCACAAACTCGATAGCCTCATTCTATATGTCGAGAGGAATCCAATGAGGGGTCATTTGTCTGTGTGCGAAAATCTGGGACCAAGCTATTGTCCTTCAAATGAGGAGAGCGTCAGCTCTGGCTGTGCCGTGTTCCATCTTGATTTACTCCTCAAAAACAAAACATCGAAAGGTATTTACACCTCCTGACAAATCTCACAAGTGTTCCCTTTCGTTTGACACCAAAAGTAACCAAATACATCGTGTGGTTGCAGAGATATACACATTTTATTTCGGGGAGGCGCCGTCGATTTAAATCCCCCAAACAGGCGCAGGGCCTATTGATGGTGGGGGGGGGGAACGATGCTGGCTGAGGGAGAGATTGGTGACAACATCAGCCAGCTTGCTGGCACATGCCCTGAGAGCCCTCCCAGGGTACACAGTCCCTTAACAGATGCCTAAATGCTTTCCTTCTGTCGTACTGGAACACACCACATGCAACAACAAAGGTGTCTCCTGCTTCAGCTATGTTCAAAAGACAACTCTGTACTCGGCTTGACCTGCTGAGACCTCGCAAAACAAAGGAGGTTGTACAACTCCACCAGAGAGCCCAAGTTGAGAGACAGGGAAAAGCAAAAGCCAGAAGTTTCAATGCTGAAGATCACGTTCTCGCTCGGAACTACCTTTCCAAAGATAGGTGGACACCTGCGACAGTCATCACACAGACTGGACCTGTTAGATACACCAAGGAAACAAATGAGCATCTCATTTGGAGGAGACATATTGATCAATTACTGCACACAAGTGGCTCACAGGAGTCTACACACCAGTTACCATTTTCTGATCTGGACAGACAAACAGACTCAGGGCCCTCTACAACAGTGGAAGACTCACTGAAACACACCAGTACTGGAGACATTGTCTCTGAATCACTGGACTCTACACCCATGCCTTTAACGGACATCATTCCTTACAGAGAGGGGCTTGTGCAGTCCCCATCCAGAGATACGATGACTGGTCCAGCAATGGGTTGCTCTTATCCAAGGAGAAACACACAAACTCCTGATAGACTATCTTATTAGTAAGAACTGACCCACAGTATTGGGACAGAATAATTCCCAGGGGTTCAGTTGGACTGAGAGGTAGTCTACCCTCTCTTTCCTAGTTTAGTAAAAATGTAATTTCAAAGAAAGAGATAATCCAGATTTGTTGGTTAGAAATGTTCATTCTTTACTGGGGAGTTCCAAGCTAACGGGGGAAGAGATACGTTCCTGAGTAGTTAGATTTATTGTGAAAAGGGTATGATGTTATTTCCTGTTGAGGAAGGAACTGTCAGGTTTGCCCGGCTGCACCTTCCTTTCTTCTCTTTTCCCGCCCTAGTCAGCTCCCTCACACTGATTATTTGATTAGACACACCTGCCCTGATTTTCTGACACTCATCAGCTGCACCTCTTTTGTCTCACTCCTCATTTATACTCTGCTCACCCATCACTCCCTTGTGTGTTCACTGCTTCCTTCTACGTTTGGACTTGTCCTCTGGATCCTGGCACCCTCAGCTCCACCAGCCACCACCATCACAGGTCGATGCACAGTCTCCAATTTAACTGTATCTCTCCTATTACCTCCTCAGTCAACCGGATCTCCTGCCCGACCAGCCCAGGAGTGATTCCTACCCCTGCAGCCCGGTCCATCATCACTCCACGTACCATAACTCCTGCTACTGCTGGTTGACACCCGGTTATATTCACCACTTCACTTTGTATATATATTGATGCACTACTTAAACACTGTAAATAAATCTTTGCTTGCACCGAAGCCAGCCGCCTGGGTCTGCTGTTTTCTCCGCTCGCTCACCCTTGTGTCGAGCGTTTCCCTAACAGGAACACTTACGAGTGACGCTGTACACTACAGTTTTGTTTTTGTGTTCTGAAGAGTAACACACAAGCACACAAGTTGCACCCGTCTCTGTGTCTTCTTTATTAGTTAGTACTACCCAGCAAGAAAAGGGGTGAGTACATAACAAAACAGATTTATCAGAATGTACTCCTGAGCTTTGAGATCTAACAGTAATCTTCTGGTTAGCCTGGGATTAACTCCCCTGCAGTGGGAAGGTCCTGAATAAAAGATGTGCAAATGCTTCTGTAACTCCACAGGCTGTGCTCAGTTGATGTATGTTCCTTGACCTTAAAAATTATATTAACGTAATAAGCAGCCAGGCATATGTTGTGTTTGCAAGCAGATGCTGTTTAATCCATTACTTACACTTTTGCCCTTTGTTCTTGGTTTCAGATGGGCTACATACATGGAGAAGTCTGATGGACCCATAAAACAAAATGATACCCACAAAGTGTGCCTAAATAAAATACAATATACAGTAAATTTCACAAAATTATGATGTATGTTAAGAAGCAAATGGTCAAAAAAGAGCAAACAAATTTGTGATACACCTAATTTACAAGTATTGAGACAAAACTGTGGCCAGTAATGAGTGGACCAGATATGATTTCCCATACACTGGTTTAAAGATACTCATCTGCATCAGTTAAACTCCGGGATTGAAACAGTTTCCTCAGTGCCATCAGTAGCCGTTTGTCAGGTGCAGGTTTGGCAGTCTGAAGAGCCGCTCCTCGGGCTCCTTCTGAGCAGTGTGAACCACATGGCACTGGAACTCAGAGCCCCAGTTGTCCTCGTTGGGAGTGAGTTTGAGAAAACTGAACATGGAGTAGAGGCCATTGATGTTCAGGCTGGGGGGAGTGTTGAAGACATTGGAGAGGACCACTTGTCTGTCTTTAGTCCAAGTTACTGACACATTCGCAGGACAGAAGTCTTTGATGCACAGGTGCAGTGTACACTCTTCATTCAGCAGAGGACACAGTGGTTCACAGCCAATGAACATCACATTAGGAGGAGTTCCTGGATGAAAAGACATAGGGTACATTAATTCAGAGAGTTGTCACTGGGTGTTTAGTATTTTAACATTCTCATGTTTCTGCATTTTGATATATTAATGTGGATTGATTTAAAAAAATCTGACTCATGTTTATCTTCTTCATGGATGCCTGAAGGACAAACTTTATGGGAAATTAAGTCTTGAGTTTGATATAGTTAAACTGGTGAAATCAATTATAATGGAATCAGTTAATTTGCTCTGTTCATTTTCCAGATGTTTATAATTTCAAAGAACAATTCTACCCTTTTTTTAGAAAGCATATACCATCCAGACTGTAACATGTTAAAGAAGCACACGAGTAAATAATTTTTATGAAACTGTAAAAATAAGAAAACTGTGACTGCTTTGAAGATACTGCGCACAAGATTCTTTACAGAACCCCACACTCCTCTGGAGTTGAGCTTCATTTTGGTTTTAAACTGCAAGTAAAGTAGCCTTTATTCAGCTATTTTCATTTTCCTTTGACAAAAAACTTTTCTCATTGACTCCAGGCTGTACATAGCACAGCTGCCAGGCTTTCAACTAGAACCAAGAGTGATCACCCAGAATGTTTCAGAATCAGTTTTAAGGCAGTGTTAAGGCTTTTCATGATCTTCCTCCCAGTTATGTTTAAGATCTCTTAGCACTAGGGCTGGAACCATGCCTCAATATAATCGATTGTCAATTACATAAATATTCCATATTAACACATTCCTGCCTCTGTTTCTCTCCTTCTCTGGGAGTCTTAGTCAAGGTACTAGGCATGGCTGGGAGTGGCACAGCTGAAGACAATCCCTCAATCTGGCTGGCTAGTATATAGTGTCATCCTTGCCAGTGAGTTTGTTGTCTTCATGATGTCTAACTGGCCAACTTACCTCCTGAGAGATTTCTTCTCTGATTTTTGCTACCTGACCTGATCCTGTATCCAGTCCTTCCTCTACCAAGCTCTACTGATTTCCTGGTCTCTGTGGTTCCTGGCCTACCAGTACTGAAGACTCTGGTCTTCAGTACAAAACATAAAACGATTACAAATCATTGTGAAAATTCATTAGACTAATCAACTAGTGAAAAAAATTAATTCATAAACAAGTGATTAGTTGCAAACCAGTACATGGCCTGACATCCTCAGGCAGAAATTGTTTGTCTGTGGAAGAGGCCTGGCTAAGAACTAACTGGGACAAGGTGCTCATGCCCTGAGGTTCTGAAGTGACCTACCAGAGGAATTCAGGCTGGTTGAGTCATTCTAAATCTCAAAATATTACTGCAGTGTAAAATTTGAAAAAAGTTGTATATAGAAAACAAAGTACAGTATATTAGACAAAGTGGTTGCTCATACTCTACTGTACTCATTTTTGTGCCTTTTCTACATTGAGACAATCTGTGAAAGCAGTGCACTCACAATCTGTGAAAGCAGTGCACTCAGCTCGTCTCTACATGATTTAACTTTATAGAAGGTCATTTTAAAAGTGGGAGAGACTATGTACCTGTTTTTGTAGGTCTTGTTCCTTCCATTGTGACTGAATTTGTGGCAAAACCTATAAGCAAATAGAAAGCTGCCAGCTGATGTGACAGCAACAGAGCATGCAGGAAATGTACATTTGCCCAATCAGCCTTTTCTTTCTGAGAATCTCTCTCAGCTAATTCGAGAAACTTAACATAGTATTTTTCCAGAGAGCTAAGGATATGGAGAAATGGGAGGTCAACATATCTGATATATTTTGTCCTGCTCTTAGTTACCATCTTTCAGTACAGTATAACTTGGTTAACTAACACATTCAAAATATTACTTAGATCCAGACAGCACTCGGTGTGCAAACCTCTGCCAAGGCAGATCACTGTTTCCATAATGTGGTTCTACCTATCAGCAATATTTCCATGATAGTTTGACTCAATATGATTCCCTGAACATGAAATCTACCCCTGGCTTTTGTAATTGCACTGATGTCATTACTAGTTTGAAAGTTACTCAAGAAAACTGATATTTCCTTAATGGCAGTTTTGTTCAGGATTTAGCCCAGTAACTTCTGAAGATATTTTAAATCAGTTAACATCTACTGAGGCAGCAGAATTTCAGCTAGAATTTGATCTTAGTTGCAAGCTTGTAGTATTATCTGTTTCCTCATAGTAGTTGGTTTTCCATGAACCATTCTGGATCACCACATTCAGAATATTACTTGGATCCAGGTCAGACTTTGGCATATGGTGTTATGGTAGCCCCCCTCACCAGAAGGGTGAGAGAGGACTGAGGTTGGACTCAAGTTTGCAGACCCAGGTGCTAGGGGGAAAAACATGACGGTAGCAGGTAAATAAAGTGAACACAAAGTATCAAAAGAACATAACATGGGAAAGTAC